AGTGGGATCAATGGGGTCAATGGGATCAGTGGGGTCAATGGGGTCAATGGGATGAATGGGGTCAATGGGGTCAGAGGCGTCCATAAGGTTTATGGGGTCACTGGGGTCAATGGGGTCAGTGGGATCAACGGAGGTAAGTGGGGTCCATGGGGTTTATGGGGTCAGTGGGGTCAGTGGGCTCAGTGGGGTCAATTAGGACAACAGGGCCAGTCGGAAGATTGGGGTCAATGGGGTCACTGGGGCCACTGGGGTCAGTGGGGTCAATGGGGTCAAAGGGATGAATAGGGTCAATGGGGTCAATGGGGTCAGTGGGGACAATTGGGGTCACTGTGGTCACTGTTGTCATTGGGTCAATGGGGCCAATGGGGTCAAAGGGGTCAGTGGGGTCAATGGGGTCCATGGGGTTTTGGGGTCAATGGGGGAAATGGGAACAATGGAGCCAATTAGGATAATGGGGTCAATTAGGGTCGGAAGGGTCAATGGGGTCAATGGGGTCAGTGGGGTCAGTGCGGCAATGGGGCCAATGGGTCAATGGGGTTTATGGGGTCAATGGGGTCATTCGTTCATAATGGGGTCAATAGAGTTCTGGGGTTATGGGGTCAGTGGGGACATCGGGGTCAGTGGGGCTATCGATGGGGTCATTAATGGGATCATCAATGGGGTCATCATTGGGGTCATTAATGGGGTCATCATTGGGGTCATTAATGGGGTCATTAATGGGGCCATCATTGGGGTCATTCATGGGGTCGTTAATGGGGCCATCAATGGGGTCATAACTGGGGTCATTAATGGGATCATCAATGGGGACATCAATGGGGCTATCAATGGGGTCATCAATGGGGTAGTTAATGGGATCATCAATGGGGCCATCAATGAGGTCATTAATGGGGGCATTAATGGGGCCATCAATGGGGCTGCCAATGGGCTCCTCAATGGGGTCATCAATGGGGTCATTAATGGGGCAATTAATGGGGTTGTTAAGGGGGTAATTAATGGGGTCATCGGGGGGTCATCAATGGAGCAGCCAACGGGGCCAACAATGGGGTTGTTAAGAGGGTCATTAATAAGGCCATCAATGTGGACACCAATGGGGCTGTCAATGGGGTCATCAATGGGGTCATTAATGGGGTCATTAATGGGGACATCATTGGGGTCACTCATGGGCTCATTAATGGGGTCATCAATGGGGTCATTAATGGGGCAATTAATGGGGTTAAGGGGGTAATTAATGGGGTCATCGGGGGGTCATCAATGGAGCAGCCAATGGGGCCATCAATGGGGCCATCAATGGGGCCATCAATGGGGTTATCAATGGGGTTGTCAATGGGGTCATTAATGGGGTCATTAATGGGGCAATTAATGGGGTCATTGGGGGGTAATTAATGGGGTCATGGGGGGGTCATCAATGGACCAGCCAACGGGGCCATCAATGGGGTCATCAATGGGGTCATCAATGGGGCCATCAA